AAAGTTATATTCTTCATTTAGACCAGTTTATAGTATTGTACAATCAGTTTTAGGGCCAGGAAAACTCATATACATGAAATATAGGGAAAACTCACATATTGTGTTGTATCTTACTCAAATTTTGCTCATTTTACTTTATTTTTTCTGGGATATGAAAGACACTTTAAAAGTATATTTTTTACAACTTAGATCATGTAATTTGGTTAAGTATTAGTTGAGTTATAATAGATTTTGTATTTGAGTGTACTTAGTGTGACGAAAATCACGAATCACGCGTGTGACAATATTTATGAAAATGACAGTAAAGTGTCTATTTGAAGCATATTTAAAAAACATGAATTTACATCAAATAATCACTGAATTCTGTACAGAATTGAGTGAGAAATAGTTATTTTTTTGTTTTGTTTACTTTTGTGACAAAAAATGATGAATCATCAAGTGTGACAATACTTATGAAAAAGGCAGTAAGAACCATAATTGAACTCTTGAACAGGAAAATGTCTTCCACTTACTGATATCTTTAGAGACTATATGATTAATGATGAACATGTAAGTAAATCAACATGTTTCAATGTGTCTTCATTCAGGAAGCACACAAAGGTACTGATGACTGACTGTAAGGAAAGAGAACAAACCTTCCTAAATATATAACTGCCTGCTGCAACATGGGCATTTATCTATGGTCATTGTGGCTGATAGACCAGACTAAGAAGAAGTAACAGTGTGTGTTTGTGTAGTACAAATGTAAGTATTAATCTCAGACCCAGATTCTTAGGAAGAAAAGGGAATTGAGAACCAAACAAGGAGTAAAGTACCCTGTATTTTTGGCCAGATGATAGCTGCAACTCAAATCAATTGAATGTAGTCCATCAAGGTCTTCACACACCCACACAGTTGCCTTGTTTTTAAAAATAATCACTAATATGTATTATAAAGCATTCTTATTATATTTCTTCATTCACTATGTCTAGGTGGATAACAGTAAAGCACATACAGATGAGAATTGTACAGCAGCAAATGGGTCTTCTGGCAAAAGTAAAATACATTAAAGCTACACACAGAAATTTAGATAGTAGTAGGACAATAGATCTGAACATTAATGAGTAGTCTTACAACACAAGTCAGACAGTTTTGATTGTAAGCCTTACACATAACTATGTTGTAACATTCAGCCAAGGATCTTGCAGGATCTCCTTAGCTGAAAGTCAGTCTTTTGGATCCAAACATAGGCACTTCCTTAGCAAAGTTGAGCAACTATTAATGTCCTCCTTTTTCTTCAACAAACCTATTTTCTTAAGGATTCTCAGTATGTCTATGTTGAGTAGAGGTAAATCCAATGCTAGCCAACCTTAGAGTAAAGGATTGTAGTTAGATTGGAGCAGAAAAAGAAATCACACAGTAATACTAACCTGTCTCTGGATTTAGGTAATACATTACTACTTGACTACTATGAATTGTCTCTGTTAGAAGACAATCATTAGTGTAACTAAGTATCTGCCAGATCATGAGCTCATTCAGGTTGAAACCTTCTCTTAACAGCTTGAATAGTTTTTGATCATTAATGAATGCAAAAACCTGCCTCTGACTGAATGAATGTTTCACAGGTGAGATGAAACAAACAATGAACCAAGTAGCCAAACATCCAAATATCAACTTTCTTGTCTCATGGTAGATTAAGTATTATTTCTAGAGTACAAAGATTGAGAGGTGTGATGTAATCATTGACTTTCTTAACAATGAATTAGACTATACAGACACAGGATGAGTTATAACATACAGTGTTAACAAATCATAAATATACTACTACCAAAATTAGTAAGAATAAAAGGCAAAGACATTCACTGTGCATACAGTAGGATGGGAAAAGGCTGTGAAACAGCTATGCAAGTATATTTGTCACCCCAGGTATGCTCTGGTGGATGTCTCTCAGCTGGACAATTCTTAATGAATAATTGGATATGAAAGGGAGGTATAAAGCTACACACATCTGCTATAATGTTCCCAGGACAAAGGTCTAGAATAGAATGTGAGCTACTAGACAATAGATGTAATTGAAACCCTACCAGTATGTGTGATTCTGAGACTGTGTAGATGATCCAGACTAATTAATATGTCTTAAAGTATCCTACTAATGACAGACAATCTAAATTGCCCTACAGAATTATGGAAAACATTGATTGATAGACCTAGAGGCTCTGTCACTAGACAGAGATGTTCACCATCCTTGTCCTTTCCAGGATGTATGAAATTATCAAGTAGTGAGAGGCAATGAGTCTTGTTCATTCCATTCTTGCTTGAGGAAATATGTTATAGTATGTCCAGTTTGTAAATTTTACCATCCTTGTAATTTTCAGTTGTGCATCTGTGTAGTGTCTTGATAGTAACAAAGCAGTTATTACTGAAATTGTGTTAGATTAGACTATTTGAGTAATCATGCATGTACACTGTATCCTTTACAAGCCAGATGCTTACAAACATACTCTAGCCCAGTTTTTGCAAGATTTCATAACAGTTGTTTTGGCTGATTCTCTTGCTAAACTTGACCTGGAGATATCTGAATCCTTGCTTTACTGTGAGACTACAAGGTTCTTCTACAAATTCCAGTACCACTTTCTCAGTGTCTTTATCCTCTGGATTATTGTTGTATTTAAAGACAATATTGCTCTTGTCTGTTACTGTTTGTGACACAGGCAAGGACTGCAAGTCAGATTTAGGCAAGGGTGTAATGACACTCATGGCCAGCTGTTAGTATGAAGTGCTAGGATGTGTAACAAGACAGTAAAAATTATTTCTCCTTAATGTCTGTCTAAGTGCAAGTCTGAACATAACTATACAGTTAGATCTGTTGTACAGTAAAGTCTCTGTACCAAGTTCTCTAAAAAAACATGTTTCTGTGGCTGGGTCAGAAAGAACTGCCTTATATGAATATATACAAGATTTGCTAAATCAACAAGTCATGTACCTTTTAAGTACACTTTTACTTACTAGGGACTCTCTGTTCTAGTATGTATAGTACATCAGACATATTTATTTATTAACTTAATTTTACAATAATAAGCAAACTCTCTGTTACTTCTGAGTCAGTCTTTTGTTCTAACATTAGTTAGTTTATACTTAACATCTCTTGTAGCCTTGAACAACCCTAAATAACATGCAATTTCTATAGGATTTATGTTGTAAACTCCTAAATTTGATATTAAGAAGAGAAAACATTTCTATATATTCCCCTTCTATAATATATTTATAATATACAAGATCAAGGAATTATAGATAGTCAATAGGTAGCTACAACTTACTTGAAAAACTGAAAACAGACATACACTAGATGCAAGATACTGTTATAGTACTCTAATGTATGGTTAGAAAGTCTAGCTTAAGCTTTATCTGAAATATTAAAACAGCTTACATTTTTGTGTTAGGTTTAGATGCTCTAGAACTTTACTCCTGGTTCTATGTATAGAATTTAAGGACATACTAGTGTTTGTATGTTATAGTGTGCAGCTTTACTCTAGGCCCCTCAACTAAGACAATTTAGGTACACTAGGCTACATAATGAGTGTAATTTGAGCCAACATTATCACAATTTTCTTGACATGTTTTTAACATGTACATGCCTTTTGTCTTGAATAGTATTAAAGGAAATTGTTATAAAATCTGTGAAAATTGGTTAATAGTTTGTAGTAAACTTGCCTGACCATTAAGTCTGCTTTGCCTTAACTACTCTTAACTGTAACAATTTTTCATTATAACAAACATTGTTAGAGTGAAGTCTTTGAAAACCATCATTCTTAGAAACCTAACACTGTCCAATCCCTTGATTCAGGTCTCAACTTGTAACATATCAAATTTCAGCTTCACAAATCTCAAAGTGTATAGTTCAAAGCTAGAGAAGATAAAAGAAGCTCAGGGTCTTGTTAAGGATTTTGCAGATAAAGTTAGTATTGATGATCTTGGTACTAAAATAGCAGATACAATGTTAGTATATTCTAGACACACCTTTGTATAATTATACTCTAAATGTACTTTTAGTAGACCTGCACATGTCAATCCAAACAACAAAGTCAAGTAATAGCCTTGTTATACAGTCTGTTTCATAACTAAAGACAGGAAGCTTATAATTTTTGAAGGTGGTAGAAAGGTCTAGGATTGTTTGTACATTACAATAGACAAGTAGTATTAGTACTAAAAGGGGTTTTTCAAGCTCAAGGAACTGTGTGATTTGTAAACAAATAATTAAACACAGACCTAGTAAGTGCTTTTCTCATACTAAGAAGTAACACTATTAATTTCCCTACTCCTTGTACAGATTAATATTCTGAATAGAGTTACAACATTAACATCTTTTATATGTAGTAAACTAATTTGATACAGATACAATTACAAATTGTAAATAACACTGAATGTAAATGATAGAATGTTATATTACTTGTTTTATATATCTGTAGACACTTTCCCAGCCCTTGTTCATAGTGTGTAGCCTGTGATTACAGCCAACATCCTTCAATTTCTAGTTCTTAACATTTAAGGTCACAATAGTAGAGGATCTATTTTTGGAGAAAGGTAAAGACATCTTTTAGGCAGGGCTTTACTACTACTAATGTCTTCAGGTTTCTCTAAAGTTTCTATCTATTCAAGGATGTCTAGTGTTTAATTTATCTTTTAGGAGTTCTGTTGTTTAACCAGCCCTTTGATTTGATACATCTAATAATTAATATTGTCTCATAACTTTAGTAGACAACACTGACCAGCCTGTGAATTAAGATACTTGTTTACACTCTTACTGTCCTTAATAAATTTAGGTGACAGACAATCCCTAGTGTTTGCAAGAATTAATAGAGAGCTTCACTTATTATCTACTATTTGACAGTAGTGTAGACATTCATGAGCCTGTAATAATTGATGAATTTGACAATATAAGGTGTTAAGGTGTCTGTATTGAAAATAAATAAAACAAAGACATTATTAACTAGACATTCAAAAGTCTATATATTCATTTTTTTAAATCCTATTTGAGTTAAGGAATCACTTACAGAACATGCAAATCTAGAGGTATGATACAGTTAGTACCTGAGTTTACTATACTACAATAATTAGTGTTGTTATCAATTTGGCTTGACTACAAGATCTTAAAGGCTGCTCACCATTTTCAAAATCAGTAATTAAAACATTTTGGAGAGGAGATCTTCAGAGAATGGTAATAGGAATGTTTGTGAGATAACTGTATGTGCACATTTTCCATCCTTTATCTTTCATTTATAATGCTTGTAAGCTGGTTTGTTCTTGAAAAACAAGACAATGTAAGATACTGTAGGGTCTATTACAAAATTAAGCAATTTTAAGACACTTTCAGGCCTCTGGTCTCTGACTCTCTGCTCAATGTTAGAATCTACACTTTCCCTACAGTAATATGAACTCTTTCTCACTAGTGTACACAGTCCCTAGTCTAAATAAATGAGTCTTTTGAGGATGTCAGACAAGGACTTCTTACTGAGCACTATAAGTAATTGCTTTTGTCCTCTTTGTTAATCACTAAAGGACAGTCCTAGAGGATTGGCCACAATTCAGAGATGCCTACCATCACTTGCTCTAGTTTATTAGAGACAGCTATGTAATAAATGGATTATAAACTTTAACCATGCTCAAAGAAGCTGGGATGAACTGTCTCCTCAGAGCAATACATATACACACAGATAGGAGTTCTGTTAATTACTATAATGCTACTTCTGGCAAAGAACACATACTAGAAGTCACAGATAGAATATATTACCTTACTGAGCTATTAATGATAACAGATAAAGGAATAGTGAGTCTGCTGATCAAATCACGTGTTTTCAAAGGAGCCAAGGACTATATATATAATATAGGGACTAGTACAGATGGGTCTATCCACAAAACCACACTGTGGATAAGCATTTCCACAGATAACTTATCTGCAGATGAAATTCCCACAGATACTGTAGTTTCTGCATATCTGCAAAAAACAGCCAGAAATTTGTGGGACTAACTTAGACAAGTAGAAATCAACTGTTGTTTCTTATGCAATCACTAGTGATACATCACAACTGTGACTAATGTCACACTTAGGTAATTAAAACAACGTGAATTTTTTTATCAGCTAGGCTAAGCACTCAACCGCGGATACTGCGGTAACCGTGGGAAAATTCATCCGCGGATAGCTTATCTGCGGATAGCTGGTGCGGATAACGGTGGCGGATGCCGCGCCAGTCCCTAATATAATATATCTCGACCGACCGTAAGTACTAGTGTCACTGATTCTCTTTCCCTTCATCTAAGCTCTAAGCGCGATGTACTACTGTTAGCGCTGCGAGCGATACTTTCCTCACAGCAGAGCACTATACCAATACAGAAGAGACTCACCGAACCATTACTTCTGCGAATACTGCAATGTCGACCTGTTTTCTTACGCGGCTTTATGCCACCACAATGGTCTGAAACATGCTCCTTGCACCTCTTATGATATAGTGTTCGCCGATACGGACGCTCTTCTTGGACATGCGGTCGAGGAGCATTTTGTATGCTGGTCATGCAGAAAGATATTTACCACGTTCAACGGATACGTGAATCACAACGAATCCGAACGCCATTATTGTCGCGAATGCAATAGACCCTTTCAGTCCAAGAATAATCTTGAACAACACCGCGCTTCGTCACTTCATACCCTAAGATCGATAATGTGCCCGGGAAGGTTGTACGTCAGGAAGTTTGCGAGCGCGTCCGCATTGATTCTCCATGCGGAGTGCGGCACCTGCCCGTCCGGCACCACGTGCAAAGAAATTAATGCATTCATAGAATCATACATGTTACGATAGACAGAACGTCATCACAAATCCGGCGCGCATGATCGCTGGACCAGACGGAACGAGGAACCCTTCCGAACCCGAATATTATGCGACCGAACGTTCTTGGAATGGCCGGGTCTACGAGTGCTTCTTGTGCGAGAGCGAATTCAGGACGCTACCTAGACTCAACCAACACCTGAAGAGCCCGTGTCACCCAAAAGATATACCATTGTCCATTGCGCGGCTGTAACTTGGAGTTCAATGCACTTAGTGCTCTTTGCCAGCACGTCGAAAGAGGTTCATGCGGCGTGCGCCAAACGAGAATGATCCAGGATACAATGAAATATCTGGAACGCGGCATGCAGTCGATAGCTCTTTAAACATGATTTTAGGGGGTTTCCACCACAGCCGATTACCATACCCGGTTTCTTCCATGAAAATGCAGGCGTTGACCTCTACCTTCCTTGTCTTCCTTTCAGGATAGCGAGCCCGAGTTCGAATTCGGCTAGCAGCGGCAGGTCGCAGGTCCGACTTATTGACCAGTGTAATCCTCTCGTATCGTAATAACGGAACGCCACCAGCGTCTCTGTACATTAAAATCAAAACGGACAGGTAGATTATAGCAAAGACACTGTTCTGTCAATGTACGAAGCCGTCACCATAAGTAAATAATGCAAGGAAGTTAAGAGAAAAAGAGCACTGCAAGTCGATTAAGTTCTCCCATAGCACAACCTACACAGAATATCAACGCAGCCCTACACCGAAGGGCAAATTGGTATATTGTCTATGCCATCGTGAAATGATGTGCTTCCTCCACAGTAACCTGGCCACTGAAGAAGTCGCCATTGGTATTAACATGATTATCCGAAGCGTTCATCCGCTCGAATAGCATGCCCCATTCCACCCACCATGTATCCGCATCGTCATACGCGTCGTACCCGAATAACTCTCGAAATTCTTCCCAGATCTTCCGTAAATGCGCCTCAGAAGAGGTCGTCCAATCAAGCTCTCCTTGCTTCTTTTGGAGCTGCATAGACTCGTCCCTCGAATCGCGTTGAGGGCCAGGCGGTATCGTCATGAACTCGACCTTCTCTTGCTCCGAGTTGCGTACTATTTCGCACCGCGCCTGACGAATTTCTTGAAAGCCGGTTAGTAGCTTCACAATATCGTCCTTTGACTTCAGCTTTGACAGAAGCCGGCCTAGAACTGCAGCATCCTCTACAGCCATTGCAGCGCCATGCGTGCTTCCGGGCTGAACAATTGAACTATTCGTGAACATTACATCTTGATCTCCTTGAGCATCACGTACATTTAATTCGTGTGCAGCCTCACCAACGACGACTACATGTCCATTGTCGTCGTACCAGCCTTCCAAATTGGTCGCCCTCTCGTCCCTAATTCGCACAGTATCTTTTACTAATTTTAAGAGTCGTTTTATTCTGCCATATGTCAGCCGTTCGTTTAGTACATAGGAAGGGACGATCGTACATAGGTGCAAATCCAAATCGTTCAAGATCAAGATCTCCGACAGGCGTTCGGCATTGCCAGTCTAACTGATCTTTGGTGCCAGTCTCGTCCCTGAAGATTGTTGCCACGAACTCCGTGTTATTTCGCTGCAAACAACGTGGATTCAGCAAGAGTCCTTTGGCGATGCGCTTTAACTTACAACTGCATGACCTAATAGGGACCATCCGGAGCCCATCCAGACATTCCACTACACCCAATGAGCAGAGGATTGTAAATAGAGCAATGGAAGCGTACTGTAGGTTCCTTTACCAACTGTAGAAGCTCTGCATCATCTTTAAATGATGACGCTGGCACAGTGAATCTGATGGGGAAGCGTATCAGCTCACAGATCATGATGAAGAAATCGATATAACGTACAAGTAGCTAGAGTAATCGGCGCGACCGTCCTCGTTGTCGATGTGTTCCAAGACCGAGTGAACAACGCTTTGGTATCCATCTCCGCCGACAATGAGGTCAGCATATAGCTTTTCTCCGCATGATAGCGTAACAGACGGAGCTTCAGGGTCAAGCTGTGCGACCCGAGATCCGAATCTGAACTGTGCTCCGGAATCTTTTGCGAGTTGGTAAAGCATCCTTAAAAGATCTAAGTGCTTCATCAAGATTTAGCACGCTAACCGAGTCTAAAATGCTGGATCGACGGCATACATGTAGTAGATAAACCTCTGCTTGAAGCTCCTTCATCACTGCTTCGTGGAATAAGAGTTCACCAATGGCTTCGCCAGTATGGCCTACATAGTTGCCACGGAATCCACGGAATTAGGTTCCGTTTAGTCAGGTCGTCGAGGTACGCACCAGAATGGAAATTGATCTTCGGACACCTCCCGCTTGTCAACTCTGCGATTCGAGGACCCAACCCCCATTTCAGAAGAATGCGAGACATATTTGGCGGGATGCGAACCCCGCCTGGGCTCTTCCAGCATCACACCAACATTAGAAAGCTATTTCGGTTTGTGGTAGGAAGGAATGGCGTACCTTTCCCAGGTCGCTTTTTGCCTCTAGAACGAGGACATTATGCCCAGCCTCTTGGAGGCTGTACGCACACGCTAGACCAGCTACGCTCGCACCAATAACGATAATGTCGATGGATACATCCGCCTTTTGGGACCCGAAGAGTGCCCTTGTCGAAGAAATGGAGCCTTCTCTGGGTCGAGTGACGGTCATGATGTATCGTTAAGGAAGGGTATGATAGTAGCGCGCGCAAGCCCATAGATTATTTAAGACACTGCAAATTGCATCAGCGCAATAAATTTGTAACTCCTCCTGATTATGCAAGACGTTAATTTGTAGTCAATGATTGCAAAGGAAGGAATGTTTGATGATAATCACCGATAGCCTTTCTGTTGGCGCAGAAGCTGCAACCGCGGACCGTCGCATGTGCATATCTGGTATTGTTTTCCGCACACTCCGGGAGAAAGTTTTTGCAGGACTTGCTTTCGTAGCACCACTATTATAGTCACAGTGATTTTGTAAAAACCTATACACGTCTCATTCTCTAAAGTGGACGAGTTTAGAAAGCTTACCCCTTACCCAAGCTTGATTATCATTATGGACGTTGCGATTGAATGTTGGGATGCTGTACTCGATATTATATAATCTCGGAAAATTTCCATAGTCAGGTCCGTTGACATCCGCAGCATGGTCACATCCCCACAGGAAAGTCTTTCGATGATGGCAAACTCGATGTATTTCCTGGCTTCCCACACATAGCATTCAGCAGGACGAATCGGATCAAGGCGTTCAGATCCGAAAGGCTAAGGGAGTGAATGAATAGTAGACTTCGCATCCGCGGCGCCAAAGGCGTCGCTGCTCAGACTGCCATGCTTTGGACCGTGCATTGCGTTCAAATCTACCTGAAGTATAGACTAATGATGACTACTGTGATAAAACATGAGCTGTGAAGATTATGAAGAAATCCTGCGTAACTGACTAGGCACGTGCTTGCGGGAGAACAGTTCCCCACTTTCTCACTCGTCTAGAGTTCTTCGTTTCCACCTCCTATCTGTGTTTCCGCCGAACTTTGGGCTCCGGAGCAACGCTGGGGGAGTTTCAAAGCGGTGATGAAGGCGGTTCAGATAGAATTGAACGGATGAAGAGTGGCACCTGGAGAGAGAAAATGACCGAGTAAAAAATAAAATAATTGAGTTTCAGGCACAGGACATCACGTGGACCAGCGAGTTGTTTCTAAATTAAATTTAAAAAGTGATTTGCGCATGTTCCTCGCATTGCGGAGCCAGGAAATTGTCTGCTAAAGAGCCATCAATTATTTATCAATCCGTGTCCTCACCTCTGCCGCACCAACTCGACGTAATCTTGACGGAAAAGGCCTAGTATGTAGATCTATCCACCCAGAATCCCGGAATTTGTTTTTCTTTTACCCGGGCACGTCTACCAGTCGGAAGGTCTCCTATGAATTTTCAAAATGAACGGCTCACCTATTCGAGTCGAATTTCCCTGTTCCATTCTCGCTCACAGTCGGGTAAGCACGTAACCGCATGCACAAATGCATATGGGCCGAAGCTTCCGCTTTCAAACCATTTATTGCGTAACAACCGGACAAGAAACACACCCGATTGCTTCTGCTTAATTTTAAGTCACTTCTGTTCGTGCGGTGTTGACTCCGTAAGTATATGCTATGAGAAAACGGATTAAGAGCTTTTGACATTTCAGTCGAATTGTAGCGTTGAAGCCGATAAGGGCTAGTATTACAAAGTAAATATAAAAACCTGAGTGTTCACGGCCGATTTCGAGAAAATGGCTGTCAGACATTGAAAGACAGGGAGGATATAATAGTTGCCCCGAGCAACGAACGTCTATAGGGTATCAAACTCCAAGGCTAGAGGAGAACAGAAATGACCGGCACGATCATTGAACGTTGGTTCTAGTGTATAATACAACCGAATATGCTAGGACACACGTCCTATCACAAGAATCTGAGAACCTTGAACGCGTCTATTAGTATCCGAGCATTCCGGGAACGAGTAAGGCTTATTCGCCCGAATAGCTCGGCAAGCAAACTTCGACGGCTAGAATTACCTAGTGGATGTTTCCGCATGCAGTTGACGACGTAGTATTACAGGAGCGTGACAAATTATCATTGGTACAGAAACGAGGGGAGAATTCAATACTGCGTCTGACCGACATTACGCAAGTGGTCGGGTAGTAAAAGAAGTCGAATGAAGTTCTACTATATGAATTGTATGTATGATAGAAACTTGATAATAATAAAATACTTAAAACTGATGTACAGGCAGATGTACCCTTTCCCCAGTCGTCCCAAAAATGTTCCAGTCCATGTCGCAACCGTGTTCATACAAGCTAGCTAAAAGTTGTTCAAAGCGTTCGGATCCGAAATGGGTATACTTGTCCGAGCTTAATGCAAGGGCAGGGCCTCCAACGTGAACAACGAGATCACACTTAGCCGTAAGACACTCGACGCCCCGCCGAGTATCGAAGACACGGTTCGCAATCTGTGTCCAATAGGTCCGACTCTGAAGCGTATCTTCATCCAGAACATCACATAAATACCCTGAAACAAATGGAATCCCCTTCGAGTTTACGTTTGTGGATGGAGGTTCAGCGCGTGCAAGAGTAGGGTTAACTGCGACGGTGTAACCTCCGTTCTTCGTGAACTCCTCCACAACATCAGCTTCACCCTCTAACACGTGCAGCTCGTCCGTATGACATCCACGCAACCTCAGTTCCGAAGGAAGCCATTGCATGAGCGACTCCGTTATTTCGCTCTTGGGCCCCCGAAGTAGATAAACCATATTATTCTCTTCAGCTCTCCTTTGGAAAACAGAATCAACTGGTAAAATTCCAGCGCAAACTGCCGCTACCCATTCTGACATCCCCTCTCCTCCTACAGCTCCTATCTGACAACCCAGAGCTTTCAGAGCGTTCACAATAGCCAATTGTTCGGCAAACGCTCTGTAGCACTGGTCCCAAGTACTAGTTGCTACTGTCGATCGTTTGTGTCCAAACACATGGGAATCAGGCAAATCGAAGGAAGCCCTGGGCAAAGGCAGGCCGAACCAGATGCCTAGTCTGACGTTTCCGTGCTTGAATGTTTCCCTAGGTTTCGGCCCTAGAAGCTCTGTTGAGAGAGCTGACACCAATGACCTGAAGTCACAAACAGGCCAAGCACGTCTCACAGGAAAGTGATCTCGCCCAACTTGACTCGTCATGCATATAGCTTTGAGAGTTGACTCCGCACCCGACGGAGATAGCACGAATTCCAAACATCGTTTAACCAGAGACTCGTACTCTCTAAAATCAACTGCGCTTATAAGGAAAATACTCGGGGTATTGGTCAATTGAGGAACGTGATGCTTGTCGAAGTCCTCCAAGATGGCATGGGCCAGGGTCCCAGACAGGCCGAAAGAGGAGACACCGATACGACGAGGCCTGCCGTTTCGAGGAAATGAAGTGACACGTCGGGGGACAATGAACTTGGAACCAGTGAAATCGATCTGAGAATTCGGAAGTTCTAGGTTATGTTGGCCGGGAACAATGTTGTTTTGCAGGCAAGCAATAGTCTTCAGCACGCCTATGACGAGGTTGTGAATTTCAATACGTAGATTGGTACTGCAGGAAAGGCATCTTACTCGAAAGACCCGCAGTTTCCTCAGTGTGTCCAAGTACCGCCTTAACAGCACTGACAAGCAAGGGCCTTGTTCTTTTACCGCGGAAGACCTTGTCAAGAGCCTGCATCTCTACAGCATCTCCTACCTGAGTTCCTGTGCCATGGGCTATCAAGACGATGATACGAACTGTCAGTCCTACTCGAAATGAATAACCACAAAACTCACCCTCTATAAGATCAATATCCTCCTCAACGCAGCGCGCCTTCTTCATAGTTTGCTGCAAAAGTCGCGTCTGCGCGGCCGGATTTGGGGCGAAGAAGCCATGTGATCGACCATCCTGGGTGATATGAGATGCCTTGATCTTAGCGTATACACCGCACTGTGCGTCTGTGGCTTTCTGGATGACTATGGCTGCTGCACCTTCTCCGGGAAGAAAACCATCTGCTGTTTCTGAAAATGTTGCACAGCGGCCTGATTTAGAGGCAATACCAGAGTCCAAGCGGAAGATTGGTCCAGAAGGATGGAAATGAGTTGTAGAAGAAACGACTATTGCCGCGTCACAGTCCCCACTCCGAATTGAATTACATGCTACCCAGGTAACAGTTAGTCAGCCGAGATGACAGCGCGAAGCGACATTGACATACCTTGGTTGATAGCAACAAGGCTACTTGAACACGCAGTCTTAACCTCAATTGCCGGGCCTGTCAGATTAAGAAAGTATGATAGTCTTGCACCAACAGCATCATGGGCGCTTCCTGGTAATGCCATGGAGTACTCTGAAGGAGTATTTGAATAATGTTTCAGCAATGTGACCTCGAACAGGGTTAAGAGACAAACATACCATGTATGTCGAGCTCGGCTGACATCCGTTCTCGCCATCCGGAGCTGTTCACACTACTAAATACTGCCCACGATTGGCCGTCTAAAGAGCTGGGAGCAATCCCAGCATCTTCGATGGCCTGATAGGCCATTCGCAGTACAAGCCTCGCGTTTGGACTCATGTTCTGCGCATCTGCAGGAGACAGTCTAAAGAACTTCCTAAACGCTCCGGTGTCCTGGAATGCCTCATCTTCGAGCCACGCAACCGGAGGAATATCGACGCCTTGAATAGATTCTGGACTCCATCGAGAAGCTGGCACTTTCTTGGAGACCCGTCTATCGTATGTCTGGGGATCAAGCAACGCATCCCAGAGGTCACTGAGAGAACTAACATTCCCCGGATAACGACAAGCAACTCCGGTAATGACCAAAGACGCGTCAGAGACGTCAGCTACATTCCCTGTTGCAATAGTTTCACTTATGCTCGAGCTCCGGTCCTCAGGGGTTGATAAAATATATTGAGTGGCACTGTCATGTTTGACGATTAAATCGCAGATGTCATCGACGCTTTTACAAGCGTAAAGTTGAGATGCAGTTACTGAAAAGGAGAACTGCGATTCGAGAGCTCGAGCAAGCTGAACAGCAGTTATAGAAGTGAGGGGTATTTCGGCGACCTTGACCGATTTGTGAACAAAATGGTCGACGGGTATGTTGAAAATATTCGAAAGAAGTCGAAGGACCTCGTTATGCAGTAGCACGTGCTCGCGTAATTCCGACACATGATTGTGAGAGTCTGCAACTTGCGGTTTTTGCACAGGCCATTTTCCGTTTAACTCAGCCCAGATCTTCTTCACTTTCTTCCGGTTGAGAGTGAACTTCGTCGTGGTCGGCAGTTCATCGACGAACACGATGTTTCCAGGTCGTATCCTCTTCTCAAATGAAAGCGTCTGGTTAATCTCCATGACGTATCTGACTATTTTCTCTCGTTTTCCTACGTCAAGCGGCGTATCGTTGTTTCCAGCGGGTTGCAGGAGAGCGACAGGCGTCTCTCTTGTGATAGACGAAATAACCGCAGAGCGTAGAATGAGCGGATGGTTATTGAGGTGTCGCTCAATGTCCAAGGCATCAATTTTGACCCCAGAAGCCAGAACGACCAAGTCATCAATCCGTCCAAGGTACTTGAGACCTATCATCGACTTATTAGCATTCCAATACTTTGAAATAATAGGAGACAAACCGGATAGTTGTGGTCTGTTATTGTCGGGATGAGGAAGTGTCCCGCCTTTGAGATAGCTTGACGATTTCTGGACCTTCATCGTCTCTTCATCCTCCTCGTACACATCCCCGGTCCTGTATACATTCATGCCAGACACTGGATCGTGTTGGTACGCATCGCTCTGTTTGTTATCATACCCTGATGGAAGATACTGTGAAGTAACAGATTGGGTTAGCTGCTAATGGAGTATGACGGTGAAATGTCCTCACTGATCCTCGTAAAACCAGTTCCCCAAAGTTATCCATCAATGACTCTTTCTCTAAAAAGCCTTCCAACCCAGGTGCAACTTGAAGACCGTGATCCCTCATGGATTGTACCATCACTCGTCTTATGCAAATTGTACCTGCTGCTTCGGTGGCTCCTGAGCAATCAAAGTACTGGACCGAATGTCCGGCAGCCCATTGAAAAATATCCTCTGAAGTCGGAGCACCTCCTACCCCGAGCGAGCGCATTGCCTTCAGGTTCCTTAGACCAATTTCGTCCAGGTCTGCCACCATGTCCTCAAAGATAGCAGGGACAACACAAAGTGAATCCACGGGTTGATGGTACTGAATGGCGTGCAGGAGCTGAACATGGATTGGAGTCGATAATGGAGCTTGAGGTGAAGATACTTGTCTGTCGAAAAAAATGTAGGAACCTCCAGTACCTAGGACGATACCTCTGCGCCAAAAAGCGTAAATAAAGTTAAATTTTAGCAAACAAAACAAATTAACGTACAGCAAAGAAATACAGAATTCAAAGCAATGGCTTAAAGGAAGCCAACCGAGATGTCGAATGGGATGACTCCCGTAAGGTGATCCTCCAAGCATCTCTACCATTCTACACGCCGAATGAATTAGCATTGTGTGGGTATAGGTGACAGATTTTAGAGATGAGGCATCCACGGCAGAACTCGTAAAGAGCGAAATAACAGGCAACTCGTCATCGACGTGCGGCGGTCCACGAAGAGGTGCATGCCCATCGTCCGGTCCCGATATCTGCGACAACCATAGCTTCAGAGACGGTATGAAATCCGACTGCCGCAGGGATGAAATCTGCAGCGCAAATTGAATCGGTATGATATCGTCAAGGTACGCAACGTCCAAGTCAGCTGTATCGGGCAGATACTTGGCTGCAGCATCTCTCAAATTTCTTGAGACGATGACCGCGTCAGGATCGACGACGTCGACCATGGCCCGCCATAAGGATTGATCTGATTTAACACTGATCGGAACAACGGAGAACGACATAAACCAAAATGCCCAAAGAGTGAGCGGAACAAGAGCGTTGTTCGCGGAAATCAGAACCACCTTCCTCCTTCGAGGAGTGGAGAGAGACGGGCATAGGCGTTTCAGCTGCTGAGGGAGAAGCTGCGACGCTAGGATGTATGATTCTCGATACGTGAGGCTTCTGTTTACATCCTCAACGAGAAAGTCATTGTCCGGGGTCTGTCGAGCCAGATCATAGAAAGCGGACAGGAGCGATTCATTCGTCTGTGGGGATCTCCCGTCCTCTGAAAGCAGCAGCATTGGAACCAGGGAACGCCGTACGTTTAGTGGTTTTTACACCAATCTTGACTACAAGAAGTCCGAGAAGAGCCGCAGACGCACTGCCCAGGAGCCTTCACGGTGTTCAGATATATTTCCTAGTGCTCGTCACATAAGCCTTTGTGCGACTTTTGCCGAGATTCCCGTGCATCAAATTGCGGTCCATGAGCGTACAAGAATGTTCCGACATTAGGACGATTGGGTTCCCATCCAGAGGCAGCCGATGATGCACAGGCAGAAAATGATGTGTGGCTAATTAATGTAATAGGGCGCGCCAGAAGAAAATAGCATGATGCAGAAGTGATCTGAGACAACAAGTTGCGGCAGTGCAAGGTAGATGCCAATAAAACAAGAGAACTCGACCTAGAAGGTGTGACCAGAGAAAGTCCAACATGATCTCGCTTAGACAGCTTCCATAAGTAGTAGACTTCTCTTCTCTTCTTTGCAAGACAGCCGACATGAACCTGTCATGAGAAGGCAAAGTATCTTTACGGGATAATTGGATCACTGACAGCGCGACAGTTTAGGAGCCTTTTACCGTGCGCATCTCGACAGGGTCTAGGTTGAAAAAACGGCGATGATGGCCAGCATGGTATATTTCCCAGTATAGGTCCCTAAAAAGAAGCACTGAGTGCGCTGATCAAACAAAAAAAAGTTATTATTTGCAAATGGAACTCATGCGGTGTCCAGGGTCTTGATTCTCTTCACTGGCCAGAAAAGGAGTGTGCGACAAGCCACTGGTCTTTAAACCTTCTCAAGTTCTCTCCGTGATTGACCTTATCGCCTTCAGCAAATCTCCCGTTGCCTTCGGAAATCGAGTCTGTAGACGCATTACCGCCAAGACCGGGGTTTGCTTACTTGAAAGCCGAAAGTTAGAGACCTCATGTGCTGCCGCTGGCCCACTGCTGCGCCGGGATTAAAGATAACCTGCGGTATTTCAAATTGTTCCAATTCGCCTGTGCTAAAGAGGCGCGCTTAAAGAGTTTCATCTTTCCAAGGTGTGCCCGCTAAAAGTAAATGTTTATTATTGGATACGGTAATCTCGATTGATCATGTTGATGTACAGCAGGTATAGGTAAAACTCATGTAAGTGAAAAAGCAGTAAGCAGTAAAGCAAGCTTAATTTGAGGCTATGGTCGCTGTTTACGTCAAATAGGAAAATGTATTGTCAAAGTTCCGGAGAGTCCATCCTGACCACGACCAGCAGGAAAATGCCTGAAGAAGATACGAACGACATGCTTTTTGTACAATAGACTTCAAGATCAAATGCCGTGCAATTGCCTACGGCTTTTGATAAGAAAAAAGCTACTCGTTTGTAAAACCCTCCTCTTGCAAGACTTTATACCAAGGCCGGATTGTATGGGTAGGACCTGTGTAAAACAGGTTGTAAACGGAAACACAATGACATACTCCTCGGTTTCTTGTACAATGGAATGATATACTCCAGAACAATTCAATGACGGAAAGTTATGGGCCAGGATAGCACCATTCCATGAAACACTGGGACTGATTTGTATGACAGTGCACTTGGTGCTTGTCCATGAACATCGGGTTTATCAATAATTTTACCTGCAACGAACTTGACAAAAGATATTGAGGTTAGTGCATTCTGATGTCATTCATAATGATTTCTAATCCATGTTGTGCATTAATAGACTTCAAATTTCAATACTGTGATACAGACCTGTTTTGAATTGTCCTCCATTATATTCTATTTTGACTTAAATAACTGTGAGTTCGCCTCCTGCCTCTTACCCGACACCCAAGGAACCTGGAGAAGCGGACTAGGGACAGACTGCAAAGATCAGAAGTAACATTCTGTAACTGCAATGGTCTTGGTGACGGTGAACTGTTCGACGCTGCTATATCCAGGTACGCCTCTTGCATTCCTCCCTCCAGATGTAGCATCTCAATTGCATGTTGCGCGTCCGATAGCCTCGGCAAGCCTTGGAGTATGCGGCTCTTCGTCTAACTGAGAGTTCGCGCTGACTATTAAATAGGTGTTTGTATGGGACATTATATTTAACTTACCGTCCGACTACAAACTCCTATTTAAACACAGGATCACAGTCCCAACAATAGTCTACCTGTTCTCAAGGCAAGAAACTTGTAGTCACAACTAAGTGTCTACTGAATAGCTCTATAGAATTACCTCCTTTGCATACGTCATTATAAGTGTGGTATTCGAATGTGAGTCCTCATGGGTTATGTTCTGGACATCGGTACTAAATGCACGTTTCCTAAGATACAGGGGCGGGAAATTGTCAAGCTCTTGCAACCGCATTTTCTATTTGCTTTGCAATTGCAATTCCCCTGACATCTCTCCTATTCTTCTTTCGCATTCGAGCGGTATTCAATGACCGGACACTCGTTGTCTCAATTTTCGCCTTTCTATGGGTCTCACTCCTTGCAGGTTACATAGTTCCATTTGGCATCACAGCCGATAATATCGGTCCAACCCAGTTTTGCCTTGTCGCTGGCGTCAAGCAATACAACGCCGCAGGAATCGTCATCTCAACTGTGAATGATACGCTTGTGTTTGTTGCAATCTCACTACGCATTTTGTGCAATCCAGCTATTGATGATAACGTCAGAGCTCGTGTTAAAGTGTTCTCGAACGGAGGAACACTCCCAAAACTCTCGAAGAGTATTTTCCAGAGTGGCCAACAATACTATCTGTATAAAATCTCTGTGTCATTGCATTTTGGTAACTAATATCAATACATGAATTTTCTATTACCATCCCAGAATTACAGTTGGAGGAAATATTCTAACAATGGTTATGATCCTGACACCATCCGTGAATCCGATGTACCGCGCAATGTTCAACGTACCGAATATAGTCATCGAAAATTGTATGGCATGCAAGGTTTTCCGGGACATCAAATTTGGCATTATAGAGACCTCAGCAACTTCAGTATTCCGGCGCTCAACGATTTGGAATGCAAAATCCAACCTCGGCTCCTCCCACACACCGCCGGACACAGTGTTTCCAATGACTTTAACGCGGTTGCGTTCGATTCCATCCCGGTTGGCTTGCAATCCACGACCTCGAGAAACCAATTGGGTCCAATCCTGTAGGATCTACAGGAGTCCGTACAACCTCTACATATCCGTGAGGCGAACACCAAAGCTGATTATATTGGGTTGTGGCAATAACTATTAAACTACTTGCTGGAGAAGTAAATGGAACTCTTATGTTTTCATGATTGGGCTAAATATTTTATTGATGCGTCTGTATTTATTTATTTATTTATAGAGTTATAATTTACACAAGTAGAGTGATTAGAGCTCATCTGTCTTGCCTCTTATTCAAACTGCAATACAGTATATATATTCCCAGTTATTGTTCTTCAAAATTAGTTAAGAATTTACAAGTCTACATGCATGCACAGAATTTCAGCTGATACAACTTCTACCTAACGAATTCTGCATCATACCATCATAATTGCAGACGCAATAGTTGGTGAAGTTCTAAATAGTCTAAGAGTTCTTGTTAATCCTATATAGTGGTTTAATTAGAGAAGATCTTAATAAATTAGCAAAGAGTTTGCAGAATGGTACAAGGAATTGTTTCTGAAGAAATTATCAATTAATTTGACACAGTGCTCGAATTTAAGACGCTAAAGTGACCAGAATTATATATAGGGCACTAATAATGTTACTCATACTACCAGTCATTCCAGTTGTGAGTACTGCTCTTGTAAACTTTACAGATGGAGTCTTAGATGATATGCTTATATTTAATCATTAATTCGTAAATTATTATCTTTATTATTCTCATTTACTCTACAGGAAATATGCAAAAGAAACACCATACGAATTTTACTATTAACAATGACTTAGACCATCCGAGGTGCCTTCAATCCAGCCTGGATCTATTTACTGGCAATTACTGCATTTGAGGTCTCAAACAAAACGATAGGAAGGCTTATATATTCTCAGTATAGTAGTTGAGCTCTACACCTCTTATTCTCCTCCACTGGCGTGTTCCGCATTTGCTGAAAGACTCCATCTAATCCAATTCGAAAACAGGACAAAAAGGAACCTAGTTCCGCTTCGAGACGGTATGTAAACAATGAGAATAGTTGAGGTTCCGGATGATTGACCTCGGCCCTTGTAGATGACTCGATCGCTCTATCCTGTGATCGAGCTTGAAGCTGTGTATGAAACCTTTCTGGACAGATGAGAGCACGTAATTGCATGGTGATGAACCTCAAGACGGTAACGTGTACAGCAAATACCTCATAGACAATCATTGTGAATATCTCTTGCTTACAGCCCCAGATTAATGTTAAATAGCTCAAGGAAACTATTCACTAAGGTAAGGGGTTGATGAATGCATGTCCGTGGAGACGAGTGTACTGGCATGAGATCGTATGGTATATTTTGTGCGTGGGAAAAATGTAGATCATATATAGTATAGTCATGAAGAGTGAACCTAATTACGATCAACAAATATTCTTAAGCCATATACCTTACGAACAAGCTTATTTGACACTATCTCCATCAAGATCAGATAGAATGTAATATTTTCAGCTTTCAAAAGCTAATCGACTCGTCCGAGGAAGATATCTGCTCAATCACGAGATCATCACACAAGTGCTGGATAATGCTGATAGGAGTTAAACCAAAAACAGGCTGTAAACGGGTTCCCAAACCTATGTAGGCTTTACGAGTGTTCCCGGATCGAAAGGAGGAGATTGGAGTTCTTCGCCAGTGTCTTCATTTAGAACAGGGCACTGGATCGGTTTTGAAACGCTACACGCTTCGTCCCTGAAACTAGCGTCTATCAGGTGTGGGGATAGTCAAAATCTGCAAACCAACATCAAGGCAAGTACATATTTCAACTTCGGAATCAATCATTATGATATCTCAACAAGCTATGCATGATGGCCTTTGATATTAAAAAACAAGCTTATATCTACTCGACTGTCTACTGAAGCAACTCCAAAGTGTTACGGACGCCCATAGCCCATTCCACCTCACCAGTCTGCAAATACAGCACTTCGTTATCCCAAGGCAGCCAAATTTCAATGGCCTCTGGATCTACAAATTGCTCCTCACTTCCAAACCCCGAGACGGCTCTCGCGTTTCTCCCCCCAAGCATAGCATCACAGTTGGAAGTTGCTCGTCCCATCGCTGCTGCAAGTCTTGGGGTATAAGATATCTATTACGATGATCATGATTGGCATTCACTAACAGTCAGACAGGCGTTCATCTGGGACATCCTGTCTAACGTACCGTCCGATTACAAGCTGTTGTTCGAGCACAGGATCACTTTTACGACCGTTGTATATCTGCTTTCAAGGCAAGCCACCATTCCCTCGCGAGGATTAAGCATTTATTTATTATCTCTGTAGAATCACTTCATTTGCATATGTCGTTACAAGTGTCGTGTTTGAGTGTGAGTCTCTGGAAGCCAGTTTTCAGTGTCCTGACTATAATATGCTTTTCCCTAGTTGCAAGTGTAGGGGACTGTCAGGCACTCCAAATTGCGTTCTCCATCTGCTTTGCAATTGCGGTCCCTTTGACGTCTCTGCTCTTCTTCTTCCGCGTTCGTGCGGTATTCAATGACAACAAACCCATCGTCGCATTTTTTGGCTTTCTATGGGTTTCAGTCCTCGCAGGCTGTATAACAGTACCGTTTGCCACCCGTGGGGTACATATTGGCCCGACAGTGTTCTGCATCCTTACTGGTGTCAAGACATACAGTGCTACAGGGATCGTCATCTCAGCAGTGAACGATACGCTTGTGCTCGTTGCAATCTCGTTACGAATTTTATACAACGCGTCTATCGATGACAACGTCGGCGCCCGTGTCAAAGCGTTCTGGAACGGAGGGGCACTTCCAAAACTCTCGAAGAGTATCCTCCAGAGCGGTCAGCAATACTATCTGTATGTCTTCCGTATCATAGACTAAAGAGGATGGCTGCATCTTTTATTCCCACTTGCAGGATTACAGTCGGTGGAAACGTTCTGACAATGGTCATGATCTTAACACCATCTGTGAAACCGATTTACCGTGCTATGTTCACAATCCCGAACGTGACGATAGAAAACTGTATGGCTTGCAAGGTGTTCCGCGATATCAAGTTTGGCGTCATAGAGCCATCTGGGTCTTCATTGTTCCAGAGCTCCATAACGCGCAACGGCGTACTGAACTCCAAATTGTCCACACGTATCAGGCAGCACAACGGGCCTCAGCGCATTAACGTATCTGAGATAGATTCGAGACCGACGGGATCCGATTCCACGACTGTAGAGCTGCCAATGGAGCTCAATCTCGTCGGTGGTGCGGGAAGCCGTGCTTCTTCTCCTTGTTATTATGAGCCTAACTTGGAGGCTAAGGCTGGAAATATCGAAGTGTAATGATGCCGATAGTGCAACTTTCCAGAATGCATGAGGTATTCTCGAATTCCCACAATATTGGCTAATATTCTCTCAATGCGACTCTTTTTCTTGTACATGCGAAATGACTAGTATGTATACGTCAAGTACTGATAGCTGTAAAACATGTATCTTGCTTCGTCAATGATGAAAATGTGTAGTCTGACAAGAGGACCAGTAGATCCTTACTGAATTTTGAGTTGTTCAGTGATCAACTGCAGACCATAATCATCTGCTTCTGACACCATATGCTGGTAATACTGGACCATCATGATAGTCCATTCTGGTAAATAGTAGTATTGGGTTTATTTTTTAATAGTGTGTTTGAATCCGTATCTGGTATTGGGAGGCATGAATTGACCTTGTCAAATTGGAGCCCTGCATTGCAGAGTACTGTCAATAGAACTCAAGTTTGTTACTTAAGCAAAATGGTATGGTCGTCTCATGATAACACATTGCTCTCTGCCATCTACCACGCCTCGGAGCTACATTTATCACCTGAGATCACATAAACAAGGTTATATTTTGGATTCTGTAAGTTTCAGGTGAGCAATTAGCCTCCACATCTTCAACTTCCTTTTTCTCTTCAAGAGTTCCGTATTTACTAAAGGCTCAATCTATATAAAGAGGACAGGACGAAAAGGGAGCCTGAGTCAGGCTATAACAGTCTAGTTCCGCTTCAAGACAATATACAATCAGTGAAATTCGTCAAGCTTCTGGATGCTTGCTGTCGGTGCTGACAGATGACGCGATCACTTCGTCCTGTGATCGAGCGTGAAGGTGTGTATGGAACCTTTCCGGATAGATGAGGGCGGTTAACGGTGTGATGAAGAACGTCAAGACGACAGCGTGTACAACAAACATCGCGAAGACCTTTGTCGTGAGTATCCCTGCTTGCAGTCCCAGATTGATGACAATTAGCTCAAGGAGTCTGTTATAAGTGATGAGAGATTGATAGATGCATGTCCGAGGAAACGAGGAGCGTTAACGTACCCTTTGCAGGACATCAATGTGCCTATTGCACATGCCTCGCGAGTGGAGAATCCCACGATCTTTGCGACGCCACCGCAGCCTATGAACTTTCCAAGGTACGCAAGCACAATCACAAGGATAGTATATCCCCATGCCTTTCCGGTATTCAGGAGTCCCAGGTCGGTCTTCAACCCCGAAAGAGCAAAATACTACGAAAAGCTTTTAAGATTACACGACCCCGTTTGGTTATAGAATAGCACTCACGATGGGAAGGAAAATATCAAATATAACTGGTTCCAGCTGATGCTTCAGATTCGTTGCAAGTCCATTATCATGTGGAACGAGAAGACCCGAGAGAAAGGCACCTGTATTAGATCCGTCAATATGTCTGTATGCGTTAAAATCGTAAAGCTTACCAAAGATGGCATGCAGGCCTATAACGTCTGTGAAAAAGGAGTTCACGAGAAGTGTCACTAGTGCACAGGAAGCCATAGCCGGAGAAACTGTTCCAGTTTCAAGACTACCTGTCTTTCTCGCAACCCATCGAAGACCTATGCGTACAGGATACCAGCAGAACAGAGTATAACCGATGCAACAAAGAAGGATCCAAAGAGCTGTTAATCCCGTCTTCGCATTTACGAGTGTGACGGCAAGAGCGAGAAGCACCCAGCCTATGATATCGTTTCCAACACCAGCGGAGATAACCACGACTCCAAGCTTTGTATCATACAATTTCAGTTCATTCAGCATACGACACAGGATGGGAAATGCCGTGATTCCAACGGAGACAGCGATAAAGAGAGTGAAGTGTCCAAAGTCCACGGATTTGTCAATAAACTGACCATATAATATAACCGACAGAATTCCACCGAATCCAAATGGAACGAGAAGACCAGCCGCTGAAATCGCAGCAGATACCCTGTAATGCTTGAGAACAAGATTGATGTCGATCTCTAGTCCGGAAATGAAGAGGAAGAGCGTGAGCCCAAGTGTGGCACATAGGTTCAGGATGGGTATCGACTCGGTCGGAAAGATAGTTTCTGTGAACCCCGGAATACGACCCATCGCGGTTGGGCCCAACAAAATCCCTCCAATTATTTCGGCAACTACCCGCGGCTGCCTCATTTTGTAAAATAAGCCATAGCAGACTCTGGAGAAGGCGAGGATGGTCACTACCGACATCGAAAGTGAGCCTAGTCAAAACACATGGCAAATGTATACATACCAAGTTGTATAACCCAGAGCCTAAACGGATCATTCGTATTGTAGACAGTCGGGTTATCCCCAGAAATGACACCTCCCTATGTACCACGACCGTAGAGCGTATATAGTAAGAAGTAGTATAACTGAATACGTCAGAATCTGACCTGTTCAGACGCTGCTCTTTTCTGTAACCAATTTTCTCCAGGATGCTCAGACGCGGACGATCGAAGCGATACCCAAACAGATCCAGAGACTGGCAAGCTCATAGCAGCTCTGAGCGGGCAATGAACAAGGGGGATGTCCACCCACCGCCCGGCATTCAAAACTGGAGAAACATCTGGGGCAGACGAATCAGGAATCAGCGGCACACGAGCTGCGATAAGGAAAAGAATTAATTACTCGCAGTAGACGCCGTAGTCCAGACCAAGGAACGTAATTTTGTTGGCGCATACGTTGTTCCATTTTGTTCCGCTATTACAAATGTATATGCGAAGTAGTAGAAAAGCCTTGTCACTCTCGGCAGGCAGGCAGGATCTGTTCCGGCTCAGATGCGCTCATTTTCAATTCATTTCGGTAGGGATAGCAGAGTGATGAAGATTAGCTTTTCCAGCAGACTACGGATCTTTTGGGAAGTGAGGCACGTGATGAATACTTCTTTCCTTTCCTTTCTTTCCGAGGTTTTTCAATTTCTTTGTCTTCTACATCTTCCATCACTTTCGTGCACTGCACAACAGCGTGGCTACTTCCTCCTCTTTGATGGATACGAGTGCCCTGATCTGGGCATTCTGGCTCAGATCACATTTACGAAGTAAGAAGCGAAACAAATTTGCATGATGCATCAATCAACGTGGCGTAGCTCGTCCCGAATATACTCAGTCTGTTCTGTCAATCCTGCGTCACAACATGAATGATTTGAAATTTTCGCGGCTCAAAGTTCCTTTCCTTTGCCCGACACTCATGAGTAAATGATGTGTTGCGAGTCAGCGCATCAGGACCTCGGATAGTACGGCCGTGCCTTCTTTCGAGATGTCCACACTAAGAATACGTTACACGGATCCGTCGGCTATCCCTTCATCACGCAAAAATACAAGAAACGAGAGGAGGGATAGAGATAATAACAAACCGAGCTTGCTTCAACCGTCTCTTCACAACTGTTACAGACAATGCCTTCAGCAACAGTAGTAGGGATTTCTACCGATTACCCTCTTCAGTCCTCCTGCTAAAGCAAATTTTCTCAAGCCAAACCATACGACAGTCCTGGTCATCGGGGGCGGCCCCGGTGGAAGCTACACAGCTGCAGTCCTCAAGAGAGAGGGTCTCGATGTTGTTCTCCTCGAAGCATCCAAGTTTCCCCGGTAAGTTTCATCCAGTCTCGCACCAATCTTCCTCTTATGTTAATGATCATCTCAAAGTTATCATGTCGGGGAGGGTATGCTTCCGTCAATGCGTCACTATCTGCGCTTCATTGGGCTTGAAGAAGAGTTTCACAACCACGGATTTATGCACAAAGTATGATATTCGCCACCTCTCATTACCCATATATTTATATTTATATTGGTTTAACTAGCCCGGAGCCTGCTTCAAGCTCAACCAAGACTTGAGGGAGACTTGTAAGCACCGCGCCTTTTTCTGTTATACTACAGATGGGATCTAATTTATTTTCTCTACCTAGATACTGACTTCTCAACGCTTGGTCCCAGTCGCACGACCTGGAATGTGGTTAGTGTCGCATATCGATCTCTTCCATATTCCCGACTCATAGGCATTGTTTCAGATACGATCCGAGGCAGACGAGATGATGCTCCGCCATGCCGCTAGAGAGGGTGTGCATGTCATTGAAGAGACGCGCGTCAACTCGCTGCAATTTGAAGGGGACCCCGCGTCATCCCGCCCCATCAGCGCTTCGTGGTCGAACAAGCGCGGCGATTCCGGCGAAATACGGTTCGACTGGCTCGTCGATGCATCTGGGAAGAATGGCATTATGGAATCAAAATACCTGAAGAATCGGATTTTCCGAGAGGGCCTTCGGAATGTGGCAGTTTGGGGGTACTGGAAGGACGTTCGGATTTATCAAGAAGGAACCAAGCGCTCGAATTCGCCGTGGTTTGAGGCAATGACCGGTGATTATAATAACTTATTATCGAATGAATAAGCTCTAAAAATGGTCGCGATATCCAGATGAGCAGGGATGGGCGTGGCTCATCCCATTACATGATGGCACGACTTCCATTGGCATTGTTATGCACCAGGACATTGCGACGAAGAAGAAGGCTGCCTATCCGGGCGGAGCACCCTCAATGACGGAGCACTATCTTGAACAAGTTAAACTGCTCCCGGGCGTACTCGACCTCATCGGCGACAAAGGACATCTTGTACCGGGGAGTGTAAAAGGCTCCACGGATTACAGTTATCATGCGGACCGCTATTCGGGTGATCACTACCGCATTGCCGGGGATGCGGCTTGTACGTTCATTAATTCCTCGTGTTGTTCCACGGAGATAGACTGACATTTCGCATTCTAGGCTTCGTCGACCCGTTCTTTGCTTCCGGCGTGCACCTTGCAATGACCGGTGCGCTCGCCGCAGCGAGTACCATTCGGGCCTCAATGAAGGGCCAAGTGAGCGAGGAATTCGCACAGCACTGGCACGACGCGAAGATCGGAGTCGCACATACGAGGTGGGTCTGGATCCATTAGTATCTCCACGCGGGTCCCTCAGACACCCTGTTGTAGGTTCCTTCTGGTCGTACTGAGTGCATATAAACAAATGCGGCAGCAGAACAAGCCCGTGCTCAATGACATCAACGAAGATAGCTTTGATAAAGCATTCTCACTCTTTAGACCTGGTGAGTCCTCCGGCTCCATTGTTAGGCTTGATCTGCATTGCTAAGTAAGTATCGCAGTTATTCAAGGTGCTGCAGATTCAGAAGGCAAGCGACTGTCGGACGAGACACTTGACGGGATGATCGACTTCGTTATCCATCTTTTCGAACCTACCGAAGAGGAACAAGCTAAAGCCGTTGCTAAAAAGTACACTCCGGACCTACTTAAGCTGAACGGGCCGGTGATGGGGACGAAAGAGGTGAATGCTGCTGTGGACGCCACAGACGAAGATGCGAAGGTGGTGCTGAGCAGATTGAACGCACTGAAGATCTTGAGGAACGATACGAGCTGCGAAAGCTTCAGTACGGATGCTGTAGACGGATACGTAGTCCAGTTGGAGAGGGGTAACCTGGGCCTGGTCGAAGCTTGAATGATCTCCATCCGCTTTAGACATGCACCACCTCCTCGATGTATTTATCACCTTCCTAATCCTTGCATATGCGGATCCTCCTAAATGTCCAAGTAAATTTATTGGAATATCATGCTATTGTATTTCGATGTGCCTCATTGATACTGGATCGAACTAAGGCCGCGCGCTTCGTGAAAAGTGGGGCAGGAGTATGGTGCAATATGCAGTTGCTGCCAAAGGGTAAAAGGATCGTCGATCTGCATTTAGTCCGTTCTGCAACATTTCCTCTAAATTATGACTTTGACTCTGAGGTACGGTCGGCCGAAGTGTGGATTTCTCTCCAAGCTCACTGAGAATGAGCATAATGCTATGTATATTTTAATTCCACGATTGGTATACAAATTTGTCATTCAAGCGAAATGCTTTCACTAATTATTTGAAGCCCATTACAGGCCGGGACTTGTATAATTCTTCCAGATGCACAATCTCACCTGCGGTCAGCTGCACGTCCAATGCGCCTATTAGCCAAAGTCCAAATTGTTAGCAGCGATATCAGTTCTGACGTCGACCATTGACTCACCGGCTAGCTCATTTAGTTGTTCGATTGAAGTAAATCCTACAATAGGTGCCGTTACACCTGGTTTCACAATAACAAGTCGTTATTTATCTCAAGCGAATTGTGAAATAGCCATCCATACCTGATTTGTGAAGAAGCCAAGCAATACTAAGTTGCGCCATACTAATTCCTTTTTCTTTAGCCATTGCTTCGACCCTGAGTACGGTAAGTTCAAATATGTTCGTGCATGAAGAGGTTATTTCGGTAAGCACACCTCTTAACGACTTCCTTTGATTCCGGAGGACCATTCCGGTAGTATGGCAAAAATCTGCATACATGGTTAGATAGAGCCCACAAAAAAAGAGATAACATCTTACCTGTCGGTATTGGCCCTCTCTGAGCCTTCTTGCAATGGCCTACTCAGTAAACCTCGAGCTAATGGAGACCATACAATCGAACCAACACCGAGCATCTACATAATTAGTGCATCAATAAATCACGATTGGAAAATGGTTAAAAAGCGGATAAATACCTTCAAAACAGGATACATCTCTCGTTCGTCTTCGCGATACACGAGGCTGTATTGATTTTGCATTGAGATGAAGGGCGTCAGGTTATTGTTGATCGCATAATCTGTGTAAGTCAAAACAAGGTTTTATTCTTTCACTGATGTCCTGATTGCGAGGAACGTACTTTGCATTGCGTGGACTTATGCAAGACGTATCGTATCAACAAGCACGCTTCATTAAACACATAAGGACAACTCACACTGGTAAGCCCAGCAAGATCCCATGCCAATGTATCTAACATAACCTGCTTGAACAACGTCATGAAGAGCTTTCATCTGTAAATTTTACTATCATGAATGGTTCTAACGTAGAGGAGAAAAAGACGCTTACCGTTTCTGCGATCGGAGTAATAGGATCTGCCCGATGACCTGCGCATATACTCAGTAATTGAGTCATTCAAATACAGCTAGTATTGAACAAACATTGCAGGACGTCAATGTAGTCGAGTTGAAGCCTTTCCAAGCTAGCTTTAACAGCGTCGAATATATGCTATGTTTAAGTTTTAGTAAGATTGGTAAACGAAGACGGAGGAAAGAATTACCTTCCGACTAAGTCCTCCTTGATTGACGTATCCAAACTCATCTGCATTCTTTCCAGAGTCCACAAACCAAGTTCCTGGCTCCTTTCCAACAACGTTTCCTAGCTGCATTTATACCAAGTATGATAATTAACCTTGTTCTTCTGAATTGAAGCGACGAACCTTTGTCATTACTACGATTTCTTGACGAGGAAGTTTCAGCTTCTTGATAACTTTTCCTAGAATAATCTCAGAATGGCCGTTCGAGTATACCTACAAAGCGTAGTGAAGCTTCAGTTGATGTTTGCAAAAGGTGTACGAACATCTGCAGTGTCGAAAGTTTGTATTCCCAAATCATAGCTTGAAAATTAATATGTCTGTTAAGGCACTAAGCAGCAGAGTTATAATATTTCAAACTCACGCCGCCTTAATATGGGCCTCGGCCTCCTCTTCGCCGAGTAACCATTGTTGCCAGTCTTTATGTCCATACTGCATAGTACCCATAACCAACCGCGAGATCTTGAGACCAGAGTCTCCAAGCCGGACTGGAATAAATTACTGCATCAATGTAAGCGCATATATTCAATAAGCTGACACTGCATGCCGTATGTCATCTTTTTCTTTGCACCAGCAGTGGTACTTTCGCTTCGCGCTGCGCTCATGATCGTTTAACAATTCGAGATGGGGATTGAAAGGAAAACCAGCTGGTGCTCAAGGACAAGTCGAAAGCCAGTTTGGACGCAGGTAGACGTGAGTACGTCGTGTTGCATCATGATCACAAGAAGCATCGAAATGTCGGTGATCTCACAAGGGCACGAGTTGCACAGGCACAGAGCCCGAGCGAAGATGATAATATTAACAAATATTAAGAACCGCGAAGAAAGGAGTCGCCAGCAGTATCCGAGGGCTGCGATTGTGGTAAGGGTTCAGACCCTGAACTCGGCGTTTTGTGGAATTGCGGTGAAGTAACGGGTGCAAGCGGGGATTGAACGGAAGAACGACATCACAGTAAGGTGGAATGGATAACGTCCTCGGCTTGATGCGGTCGTCAGACGCCAACGCAATCTCCAATACTTTCCACCATAAGCAACGATCAGAACGGCATTGCCACTTCAAGAACCTGCTCACTAGAATTATCTCAACGAATGGAGTCTAGTATACTTGTCAATCTTTGGATTGGTTTGTCTTTGAGCTGCGGACTCTCTGGTTGGAAAATTAATTACTATAATATTTGACATGCACCGATCACATCTTTGACGGCTTTTTTACGTGCTCCGTCTCAGCTGGGCACGACGCATTTTATGTCAGACATTAATATCCTCACGTATAAATATACGTTGCAGGAATGTAGCACCAATTAACAGATTAGCCCTTTGCGCTATTAAGACTGCCCGAAATGCTCATACCCACTGAACCAGTCGGTGCGTTGACATTTTTCTTAATTTTAATTGGGCCGAACTTGTTACTCACGACGCTCATTTCGTTGCTTAGGATCACTTCCACGCCCAGTGAAGCTTCAGCAGGCCATCAAAGACTATGAAGCTGGAAAGATCGACAAGACGACATTTCAGCACCTGCAAGACGAAGCTTGCAGGGATTCAATCGTTCGCTCTGAGCAAACAGGCGCGCCTATCATCAGTGATGGAGAGCAGCGTGTATGATTTCCATCATGTTTCGTTTCTCGCGGATAAATTCAATATGACGTACATCTTTTGCAATTGCAGGCCTCTAGCTTTGCTACGTACCCACTCACGGATACATTGGGCGGCACAGGCCTCGCTCCTTGTCTTTCACCGGCTGGACAGTGTTTTGTACGCTCGATCTCTTCCATGACTCAACTCAATTCGCGCCATTCATTTGCGACTCTGAAATGTAGGCGTATTTTGATGATGGTCACCATGTATCGCTACCGAAGCTCGAAAAGGGTCAGTACAAAGGCGCTTTGCTGATGACATCAATCTGTTAACAACTTTTTCAGGCCCTTTCCGTTACAATCTCTATGCAGGCGAGTATTACGACAAATCTAAAGGATATGCTACAAAGCCCATGAAGCAGGTTAGTAGAACATCTGCCATAAGAGTGCTAGGAATGTCCTCAACTGCTTACTAATACATTATATTGAAAGGCTGTCATCTCACCATCTATGCTATCTCTTCTTTATCCGCTTGACAAAGAGATTCCTGGCTATAGCCGAGAACAATTTTACTCGGATTTAGTCGATGAGTGTGAGAAAGACATTCGGAAGGCAGGTTAAATCCAATTTTGAATTTACAATTCATGCTCAGCTCAGTGATACAGGCATTTGCAGCGGGAGCTTCTCGTGTCTCTGTGGACTTCACGGAAGGTCGCTTGGCTTCTAAGAACGACCCACGAAGCCCCTGGACTGGTCACAATATGCTTGATTTCTTTATCAAACTGAACAACCGTGTTTTTGACCGTTTTGCACCAGAGGAGAGGCGCAATATCGGTACGTTTCTTTGTAATTACGAAATAGCATAGCTAAGCACACGTTGTGATGTGTACCAGGCGTACACACCTGTCCTGGAGGCGACAATGATTCTACACATTCTGCAGACGTTCCGTACCGCAATCTTTTACCAGCACTGTTTCAGATGAGTATGTGAAACCAATATTCGAATTTTCTATGTCAGATTCCTTCTGAACACTTGGTTTCAGATGCAGGATACTTCCTTATCTCACTAACTAACGAAACAGTGAGGCTTATGTAGTGCTACTTGGTCACATGCTGAATAGATAATTTCAGGACAAGACAGAAGTATTCAAGCTTTGTAGAGACCATCTGCGTGCGGACGCTGATGGAGTGGCACAATCTATATTCATCGGTGTCACTTGCCCCGTAAGCCTATATTTTTCGCCATCGAAATTGGTTCTCATCCTTCTAAATGAAAGACAAACCAACGTATCGAAACTCCCGAAGAAGTTTGCGAAACCATCCTAGAGGCCGCAAAGTACATCCCGAAAGAACGACTCGGGACAACAGACGACTGTGGATTCTCGCCATTCAGCACGGACACGAAGCCGACTCATGGTGGGAACCCGGATCTCGCACGAGATATTGCGTTTAAAAAGATTGCAAGTCGCGTGAAGGGAACACAACTTGCTAGCGAGAAACTAGGTATATAATTACATATTCATTACACAAATCAAGGGCTTTGACGGCTCTTTTAACCAAGTAGCATCCCGTCCTGTACATATGATGTCGCCTTATTTTGCGGTAGGAATGGTACTGTTGTCTCTAATACTAGCCTTGCTGTTGAATCTTGTTGTATTCTCACTCTGAGAGTGTCGGAAATGGTACATGTCTATGTAAGCGAAGCAGCTTGTAAGCGAAGCAGTTTAGATTTCGCATTGCATCTCTATTCTTGACTTTTTACTCGCATATTGACTCCTACCTTGATCAATACAAGCTTCCCTCAATTCCTGCTCAATCTTCATTTGCATAACCTACCTTCCTCTGCTCCTGGTCATTTTTGTTTTGCAGGACACGACTGCCTTACGCTGTCTCGCTTTGTACAACGTATCCTAGGTTACTTATATGAATTCTTTGTAATTTACATGTCAGCCACACATAAGTCATTCATCCCTGACGCTCCACGAGGAAACAGTCATCCATCGATCTCTCGCTTCTGCTTCCGGAATACCGTGATCAGTCATGAACTTGAGACCCTTCCTGATGACAGGATCCTTTTCATTAAATGGGATGTCGGAGAATTCAAAATGCGTCTCGGTCGGTTCCAGGTCCTGGACTGTCATGACAAGCATCCAGCGCCGTTTGTCATCCTCTTCCTTGTCATCATCCACACCTTCAGGAAGGAAGATGTGATAGAAAATGACGCCTATATGATCGTTCTCCTGACATTTGCAGACGATATCAATCGCGGTAATGCGTTGTGTGATCAGCCTGCCTTTAATGTTTGAGGCGATCTGGAACAGTTGGTTGTCGGTAAAGGTGAAGCCTGCGCCTTTGCGCCTCTTCCAAAAAAATCAGTCTCTTATTCCGTTAGAAAGCATAAATGAGACCGACGGGTAAGGCCCACTGTGCACAGGACAAATTGAAATTCATTTGAAATTGGGGAGACGAAAAAAGATATGATTCTGCTGATCGCTTGGTCTATTACTGTATTGATTGCCTATATAGGCTAACCATCACAAACATGACTCCTTCTGACAGCGGAGTTTGAAAAGAAGGTAGGTTAAACCGTCGTGTCTTACCGTACGTTGATAAGTTGGCCATGCTTTACCGAGGCTGATCCTTGAAATTGATTCTTTTTTCTCTCGTTATTTTTTTAACTAAATTTGTCGCTACCGCTATATATTCGTGATATAATTTACGTGAAAGTGAGAGATTTACAGAACGGCACCAGCTACATAGTGCATGTGAAACTTCATTTCCAGTACGATGAGATAAATGGCTGTCGGCTAATATACTATGACCCGTCAATGATACGTGAATGTGTATATGACTCTCACAAATTTTACTTTTGACCTATAATGGAGAAAACCACAGTTAATCCGATGGTCTATTTTACATTTGCTATTAAGAGTTCAATATCGGACATACATGGATTGCGTCGCCGACGCTCCATTTTGTGGGATTCTAGAGAATAAGGATATAACGTTGGATCAACTGAATAAGTATGCTGAAAGAGTCCATCAAGATTGCTGGTAATTTATTTAAGTCGTATAAATACTATGCAGTAGTCATTTTCAGAGCATAAATACGAATCATCAGGAAATTACAATGTTGTCGCCAAAGCAAGTATAAAAAGTATGGCAGATACTTGGTAATAATCTTATGCATCGAGAGGCTTCGAGGGCCCTTATAGACAAGGTATAGGAGACTTTGTTGTGTATGCTATTGCTGTATCTTGTACTAGATATGGAACTGTTAGTTTTGAATTTGGGCCTGCTGCCATTAACCATATTGTTATCTGACTGTCAGGAATATATTAATGGCAAGGTTCTTTAGATTTAAAAATGTGTCTTTGATAATGCACGTCCAGCCATACATAAGTCAACCTGTCCTAACGCTCCACGAGGAAACAGTCATCCATCGATCCCTCGCCTCCGCCTCCGGAATGCCGTGTTCAACCATCCAGTCGAGACCTCTCTTGATGGCGAGATCCTTCTCATCCAATAGGATATCGGAGAATTCAAAATGCGTCTCTGTTGGTTCAAGGTCCTGGACTGTCATGACGAGCATCCAGGCACGTTTGTCGTCTTCCTCCTTATCATTATCTACACCTTCAGGAAGGTAGATATGATAGAAAATCACGCCGACGTTGTCCTTCTCCTGACTTTTGCAAACAATGTGAATCGCGGTAATACGTTGCGTGATTTGCCTGCCTTTAATGTTTGAGGCGATCTGGAACAGCTGGTTATCGGTGAAGGTGAAGCCCGCGCCCTTACGTCTCTTCGAGAAAAAGTTCAATCCGAATTCAGAAGAGAGCAGAAGTGAAAACTGACGCTCAATGCCATGAGTCCCTTAGCCGAATTTGCAATGGGTGGGCGGGAGAAGAAAAGAAGATGCGTTCACGTGATCTATTACACTGCACCGACTAGGCCCTAGAATGGATAGGCTTATCCGTGGATCCATACCGTGGTAATAATGTTCCCACGGTAACTGCACCACGGTAAAAATTCCCACGGTTACCGTGGTTTTTTGTGAATCCACCGATGAAGAGTAAGAAAACATATTCTTCCTATATGCACTTCTTTAACTCTAAAATTTGTAATATATTACTTTTTGAGTATTTAGAAGGATGTAATAGTAGAAGTGCTTCTATTGATAGGGAGTGGAACATACAAGACTACTTGGTTGTTGTCTTTCATTGTGTGAAATTTGTTCTTTTGTCACGTGCTGAGGTGTTCACATTGTATTGTACTGAGTGGATACTGTGGACTAGGGTGAGAAAAAATTTACTTTTATTGTAGAAATAATAATTTATACCCAGATAATGACGTTATTTATTATCTAATAATACATATTAGCTGTATACACTTATATGTAGAGTGAAACATGTGGTTTCACTAGTAAGAATCAAGTATATAAAAATGCTTTATTACACTCCCAGTCAAGTACTCAAAGATTGGCACGGTAACGTGGATTACCGCGGTAACCGTGAGAATTTTTACCACGGTAAGAAAAAACCACGGTATGGATCGCGGTAAGCTCGGATGGTTACCATTCCAGGGCCTAGCACCGACTCCTTATTTAGAAAGTTAGATCGCATCGACGACTCTGGCAGCGGAGTTTGAAAAAGGGTTGACCCTAACAGCGCGTCTTGTTCTTCTTGATAAATATGCCCATAACTTCGTGCCGACTTGGTAATTCCATGCATAAAATCGCAACTACTAGAACATGATGGGTCTATTTCTATTTTATCAACCGAGGCTACTCCTTGGGGTTGGTTCTTTTTACTCATGTTTTATTTTTGCTAGGTTTTGCATGGCGTGTGATTAGAATCCACCAGTTTTGTGAAAGATTTGCAGAAGGGCAGAACCTACATAGCATATGTGGTACTTCCGAAGCTTTGTTTCTAAATGCATAATGACGATGATGCTATATGGCCGTCTTCGTATGGGTAACATACCGCGAACCGTTGATGATAAAAAAATCACGCACTGGTTACCGAAGACTTGTGATTAATACAACTTTGCAGTATGATGCGAAGATTGACAGACAGACGGAGAATACTGCATATATTTATATACTACAAGTAGACTTGGCTCAGTTGATACTTCTTCGTTCTCACACGCAAGAATAAGTCTTCTTGTATATCGTAAGTCTTATGATGATAGGGACTGTACTCCTGTCACATGCTAGTTTCGTGGTATAACTGTGCGTACCAGTGTGTAAGCCTGGACTGTTGAGGAAACGCGCATTTGAAAAAGGCCTGGTAGTTGGATTTCTCAATGGACAGATGGATAGATATCATCAGAATACCGGCAGTTGCATCAGTGCATCGACTTCCCGTGCACTGTCTCTTAACCTATGGACGTACCTGCCCTGAGGGATCGAGGCTATGCAAAATGCAAATTTTGCATATCTTGACCTTTTCCTATTTGCTGTTCTCTATTTTTTTAACTCCTGGTTCACCCCATTTGGCTATTGTTACTAAATTAAAATACATACCTTGCCTTCATGGACATTGAAGATTGCTGTTGAGAGGGAAAACTTAAGGGGGGCACATATAGACAAGGGGTGAGGTGATGATTGACTGCTCAGTGTCTCTCATCCTTATATTGTATGTATTCTAACTGAGACATTATGAAGTCATTGTCTTGTGGTTCGTCTGTTGATGAACTAATCATTTCATAATACTCCCCTTCAAACTCTTACTAGTCCAAGTAAACTGGTAAGATGTTTGACTTGTGGTACATGTAGTGCTTTAGTTAATATATCTGCTTGTTGATTGTTTGTTCGTATGTATTTTGCATTTATGTACTCTAACTCAATGTAACATTTAATAAAATCTTTCTTATGATCTAAATGCTTTGTTTGTTCTGAATATTTGAGTTTGTCCAATGTAACTGTTTGTATAACAGTATTGTTATTACAATAGATATTAATTAGTGTATCAGAGACCTGTAGAATCTCTTCAGCTAAATGAGTAAGTACAATCACTTCCTGTGTTCCTCTTACAAGAGCTATTAATTCAGCTTCATATGTTGAATTTGCTACTAGTGTTTGTCTTTTACTTGACTACAAAACTAATGAATCACTCAAGTAAAATGTATATCCTGATATTGTATGATGCCCTTCTTGTATCATACTGTCTGCATCTGTATAGCTGTTCAATATTGATTGATTTGTGCTGCCAAGTTGGAGCCAGACATTGTTCATAGTTTTTAAGTACATGTAACAATGTTTAAGTGCCAGATAATGCTCTATACTAGGGTCATTAAGGTATTTAGCTAACTGATTTGTTGCAAATGCTATATCTGGCTGTGTACAGTCTGTAATGTATCTAAGTGCACTAACTATGTTTATGTATAGTATATCAGACATTTGTTCTCTATTGTTATCAGTTTGCAATACTGTTTTTAATTGTGTACCAGGCTGTATAGGTGTTTGTACACTTTGTTTGTTTGTAAGTTTGTAACATTCTATTATACTATTAATATAATGTGTCTGACACATCCTGATGAATCTATGCTCTCTGTTGTGTTGAATCTCTATACTAAGTAGCTAATGTAATTTGCTACTGTCTGTATATTGTAAATGACATACAATAGATTGTTTTATCATTACAATAGTATTATTATTCATTGCTACAATAGTAATATTGTCAACATGTACAAATAATATGGCTACAGTTATTTCTTTCTTCTTTGCAAAGAATACAGTGTTATCATGTTCAGATTTCATTAATCTGTATTTAAGTAGTATATTAGATAGTGTTTTATACCATCTTCTACCAGCTTGTTTTAATCTGTATAGCACTTTTTGTAATCATAATATTTGTCCATTCTGTAATCTGTCTATTAAGTTACCTGGAGGAGGTTTAACATATATTTCTTTGTCTTCTGTCAATTGTCCATACAGATATGCTGATTTTATATCTATCTAATGTATTTCATAATTATTAGATACTGCCCATGCTAATATTAATTACACTGTAGATAGTCTAACAGTAGGAGCAAATAAATTGTCTGTATGATAGTCAAGACTGTCAATCTGATAGTTTCCTTGAACTACTAATTGTGCTTTATATTTTTCTATACTATTATTAGTGTATTACTTTATTTTATAGACAAATTGTGTTCTGATAATGTTAATATTATTGTGTAGATTCATGATTTCCTATGTATTATGATTTTCTAATTGTTTTATTTTGTCTTTCATAGCTGTAATCTATGAATCACAATCTGAACATTAGATTGCTTCATAAAATGAAGTCAGATCCAATTGTATTTCACTTATTTTAGTATTAAATTCTGTTAAATGAATAGTAATATTATCTTCATCCTTTTCACTAAGTGTATACATGTGTTTTGTTATGTGTTTATTTTCCATACATTGTTCAAGCTCAATAGCACATTCTGTCAGTTTCTGTTTCTGTTCCAATCAACATAATTTAGGTTCTACTTCTTTTTTGGTTAATTTAACTTTGTTGTCTGTTAAGTCTGTTGGTTCTGCTACTTTTCCTTTTTTGTTAGGATCAGTATTGTCTGTATCATTGTTGTCTGTTCTTGTTATTCTATTGTCTGTTTCATTATTTTTAATTATTAAACACTTGTTTGTATTGTTGTTTGTATTGTCTATTTTCTCCCCTTCAATTTGAGGAGGTTTACCTTCAAGAAATTGAATATTTTGTTTGATAGTAATTTTATTATTGTGCCATGTTTTATGGCCTTTACTTTCATTGTCTAATCCTATCCAACAAGCAATAATACCTTACTATTGTATTTTTGTAGGATTTTCGTTGCAAATAATAATATATTGACTAAATTTGTATATATTATCAATTGTTCTGTGTGTTCTGTAATGTTTATAGTGTGGGGTATTGTAATTTAAAGTAGCACACAGTGTTCTATTATGAATATAGGTAATATGAATTGCTGCTTCAGCCTATAATGTAAATAGTAATTTAGTAAATGTTAGATATGCTCTTACACCTCTAAATATAGTTTTATGTGTTTGTTCTGCTATTCTGTTCTGTTGTGGAGTATGATGTACTGTTAACCTTTGTTTTGTTCCTTGTGAATCTAAATATTGTTGGAAATCTTTACTAAGGAATACAGTATTGTTATCACTTTGTAAAAGCTTTATTTTAACTCTGTACTGTGTAAATATTTTAGTTGTCCATCATACATATTGTGTATATGCATTGGATTTTGTTTGTAATTTGAGCATTATACACTAACAAGTAGAATTGTCTACAATTGTTAATAAGTAGCATATGTTCTTATATGTGTACAGTTCAATAGGACTAATGATATCAATATGAATAAGATCTCCAAATTGATTTGCAAGAGGAGATTGACATAGTTTTGGTATTGGTGTACGTTTGATATTTGCTTTTATGCATTTAATACATTCTTTTTCTTTATAGTTTGTTATTTTAGTTGATAGTACACTTGGTTGTGTCTTTAATAATCATTTATATTATGAGATAATTAGTTCATCAACAGATGAACCACAAGACAATGACTTCATAATGTCTCAGTTAGAATACATACAATATAAGGATGAGAGACACTGAGCAGTCAATTGTCACCTCACCCCTTGTCTATACATGCCCCCCTTAAGTTTTCCCTCTCAACAGGTTATAAGCCTTGAGCTCCCTACATACATACATTCACTATACACTCTAAACTCTTTATTTGCATACATTTGCACACATTTGCATCATGGTTTCCCCCACATACTGATACACACTGTAAACCAGCTAATGTACCTAAATACTTTGGTCAAAACATTATAATGCTTAAGACTGAAGCAAACTACAAGATGTGGCACTACTGTATTGTTTCTAGTGTCACAGCTATGTGCTTTGA